TGGGGTTCTATTGAAATGAATGGCACTGCAACACACCTCCCACAGCAGAATTTGTCAAGCAGAAACGGAAAATGGCTTTTCCCACCTTTTTTTTTTTTTTTTCTACATTTTTTAAAATGATTGTATTATAAGCACATGGCGCTTGAATAGCTTCAGCCAGGGAATGACAACAGTGGCAACATTCTGCAGATGGCAGCTGAATGTAAATACAGCAGGTAGTGAGCTGCTATTGGTCATTTCAAATTGTAATAGCAGGCTGGGTATTGCACTTGCCCACTGCTGTGCCCTTCTCCCAGTGTGGAGGAGAGAGCTAGGGGATCCAACCAACTAATCGATAATGAGAATAGTTGACAACTATTCTTGTATTTGATTATGATCGATTAGCTGGTTGCAGCCATAGCGCTATTACTGCCCCATTTTGCCCTCTTGGATGATATTTTTTACTCTGGTCATACTGAGCTTTGTGACTCAAATTACCCAGTTGTTTTCAGACTGATCACAAAGGTAGTACTGTTCCTTCTCCAGCAGATTGTATATGCAATCGTGCCTGTAAGTTTAGCAGCTTCTGGGCCATCAACTGCAGAGACTTTGATTCTGAGTCACTCAAGTCTTTGATTCATGAGATTTCTCCTGAGGAGTCGGTGTCTATCGCTGTAACTCCCAAGTTAAAGGAGACTTTCTGGTGCTGTTTCTGTCCTTGGGTCCTACAGGACTCCTAATGTTCCCCTTGTACCTGATCTTTCACGTTATCTCTACACAAAGAATGGAAATGCCCTGATAGGCTGTTTGCTTCCCTGAAGTGATTGCTTTCTCTGTACTCGATTAGTGAGTATTTTGTTCAAAAGTGGTCTAATCCTACTGTGGATCATTGTAGGGTGTAAGTGCTGAACTTTGGAACTTTCTTATCAGTAGCATTTGAGCCACGTGGCCTTTGAGAAATAACATCTTTTGGGCCAGATTTGGATGCTATTGAGATCAAGGGCACTCACAAAACAGACTAAGACTGCTAAATTATCTCCATTCTTGCTAAGAAGGCTGCCAAATCCACAAACAAGCCTTCCTTGGCATGTAGGTGGGGGGGGAGTTGAGTTGTCCTTTTGTGGTTTCCTGGATGTCTTGTATCCCCAATGCCTGGGTGCTAGAGGTAGTGTCTCGGGGCTACCAAATCTAGTTTTGTTCTTGCCCCCTTTTCTGTTTCTTACCTAAATCATCCGTGTGTCCCCTCAGCAACGTGCCGATCTCAGTCTGGGCTCTCTTTGGACTTCTGGATCAAGGGATGTTAGACCCAGTCAGTTCTACAGAAAGGTTTCAGGGGTTTTACTCCGTTCACTGTTCCAAAACTGTTCTTCATCAGGGGTATTTCCTGTCTTAGGTGGCCATAATAGATGCATACTTACCTGTGCCCATCTGTCCAGCTCATCGATGCTTCTCTGCACTATCCATTTGTGGCCCTTCAATTCGGCCTGTCTTCTGCTCCTTGGGTTGTTGGCTTCAGTGTTTCTCTGTTGTGCTCTTGGTGAGGGCTCTAGAGGACAACTTTCTTTGACAGTCCAGACATGAGATGAATCCTATTTTCTCCAATTCGGTCTGGGCCAATGTTTAGCTCTTCGTACCATCAAGGGCCGGATCTCTGCACTTTCTATTTTCTTTCACAGACAATAGTTTCCCACTCTCTGATTAAGACCTTTTGTGCATGAGGTTTTCCATGTGGTTCTCCCAGTCAAATGCCCTTGATCCCCTCTCTACTCTAACCCTCAAGGCATGTTTCATGGTCATCACCTCAGCTATGTAAGGGTCTATGCTGGTGGCTTTCTCTTGCAAAGAATACTTTTTTGGTCTTGCACAAGGACAAGATGGTATTAAAACCTAAGACTTCCTTTCTTCCCAAGGTAGTCTCTGCTTTCCACCTTTAATCAGAGTATTATTCTTTCCTTTCTTTTCCCCTTCGCAAGGTTGTGTCCTGTGCTTTCATTACCTCTGAAAGATCGTTATCTGAGCTGGCAGCCTTGTCCTACAAATAAACCTTTGTGGTTTTACAGAAGAATAGGTGGTGCTGAGAACTAAAGCCTCTTCCTAAGGTGGTCCTGTTCATCAGAATTAAATTTACCGCCAATGTTTGGATGCGATTTGGGATGAGCGAGTGAACCATTGTATAGGCTTATGGTGCTAAGGATCGTGTTACTCCTTTGCCAGTTAAGGCTCCCTGCACTATGATGGCGAAAGCCTCTTGGGCTTTTGGCATCGGGTCTCTGTCTCCCAGATTTGCAAGGCAGCCACCGGGTTTTGTGTTCCCACATTCTCAAAGTTCTGGCAGGTGGACATGTCTGCCTTTTCTGATGCCAGCTTTGGGTGTAAGATCCTTCAGGTGCATCTTTGAGCTACTGGCACTCCCCAGTTTCTGTTTTCACTGCGCCTGGTAACGCTTGTTTTTTTGACCACTGAAGGTTATAAAATTTCCTGTACCCCTCAATCGATGAGGAAAAAGAATTTACACTTGCCCTCAAATCCTTTTCTTGGAGTCCATTAAAGGACAGACATCTTTTCTGTGTGTTTTATGATCATGCTCTTTGGACTGCTTTGCTAGAAAACTAAGGCATGCTGGTAGTGGGAGGGGTAATATCATAGGCTGTACTAGTGCTTTTTTTGCCAGTGTTTAGTTCTTTTGTAGGTGACTGTATAACCCAACTGTTTGACTTCCTGTGTCCCTCAGTGGAATCCAACAAAAGGATTTTACAGTAAGGACAAAAAATAGGATTTTGGTACTCACCGTAAAATCCTTTTCTCTCCGTTCATTGAAGGACACAGGGAACAGATCGGAGATCATGTACTGTAGGGTAATATCGCCACCTGCAGGAGAAGGACGCTAGGCACAAAACTAAAGACCAATTACAGCCTAGGGGCGGCCCCTGCCGGTGGCCAAACCCCCCACCTACTGAGAAGTCTCCAGTTTAGTAACAAGCAGTAAAGGAGTACACACCCACATAGAGGGGCGGGCCCTGTGTCCTTCAATGAACGGAGAGAAAAGGATTTTATGTTGAGTACCAAAATCCTATTTTCTCTCCCGTTCATTGAAGGACACAGGGAACAGATCGGAGATCATGAGCAGTACCAAAAAAGAGGGGTGGGTCAACAGAAACAACAAACCCAACTAAACAAAAAAATTCCCTCAAACGGCCGCCTGCAACACTTTGCGCCCCAAACCAGCATCCGCAGATGCCAAAACATCCACCTTATAAAACTTGGCAAAGGTGTGAACAGAAGACCAAGTCGCGGCCTTACAAACCTGAGAAACTGAGGCACCATGACGGAAAGCCCAAGATGCCCCAACAGCCCTTGTAGAATGGGCCGTAACAGAAAAAGGAGGCTCACGCCCCTTAATAGCATACGCCTGAGATACTGTGTCGCGAATCCATCGAGAGATGGTAGCCGACGAGGCAGCCCTGCCCTTCCGGGGGCCATCTGCAATGACAAACAGGGAATCCGATTCCCGAAACGCAGCCGTAGCACTCAGGTAAACCCGGATGGCGCGGACCACGTCCAGACAGTGCAGTGCCCTCTCCTTCCTGTGGACAGGCTTCGGACACAAGGAAGGCAGGACAATGTCCTCATTGAGATGGAAAGCCGAAATTACCTTTGGCAAGAAAGACGGCCGAGGCCGCAGAACCACCTTGTCCTGATGCAGGACCAGCAACGGGGACGAGCAAGAAAGAGCCGCCAATTCCGAAACCCTGCGGATCGAGGTGACCGCCACCAAAAAGGCTACTTTTTGAGAGAGAGTCAGAATCGGAATATCCCGCAGAGGCTCAAAAGGAGATTCCTGCAACACCGAGAGCACCAGATTCAAATCCCACGGCGGCAACGGGGAGCGAACAGGGGGAACGATACGTGTGACCCCCTGCACAAAAGTGCGAACGAAGGCGTTGGAGGCTATCGGCCGCTGAAAAAGGACAGTCAAAGCCGAAATCTGGCCCTTGATCGTACTCAAGGCCAAACCCTGATCCACACCTCGCTGTAAAAAGGCGAGGATCCTGGCAACGGAAAACAAACGAGGCGGAAATCCCACCGACTCACACCAGGCAAAATAAGCCTTCCACGTTCGATGATAAATCCGTTGTGACACAGGCTTGCGAGCTCGCAACATCGTAGAAATAACCGCATCCGAGAGACCACGATCCCTCAACACCTGGCAAATTTTACCCCTTACTCCTTTCCTATTTGTGTCGGTATTAATGCTTGGTAATTAGCCAAGAACGGACACATGGAAGCAGTGAACAAGTGCTCAGCCCAGTGTAAACTCCTACCAGAGCAACTCTGAGCTAACCCAAGGTCTCTTCTCTAAAGCTGCCCATACACCTTACGATTATTGGCGATTTCCAAATGCGATAGCGTTTTCTTCCGATATTCGTAAGGCAATGGGCAGTGTACAACCGCAAATACTGTACAATTGATTGACTTTTGGCTAACCAGCAGGTTAGAAAACTTTGGTCGATCATACGATTTTCGCAAGGTTGGTGGCGTTTCCGTACATCAAAATTCGTACGATTAACACTGCTCATGCGCAAAGGGAAATACGTGCGGTCGATTACAGCAATTCGTCCAGGTGGTTTTTTTTTTCAGGCTGATTGAACCTTGCGATAATGGGGGCAGGATGGGGCCACCATACGAAAATCATACGATGGTTCGATCATCCGACAAAAAGTTTTGTCCGTAATATGAGCAATGAACTGCAGCAATGGCGAGGGGGAGCTTTAAAGCAAACCAGTTACGTTGGCCTGCACAGCAAAGCCCAGGTTTGCTTTAAGCATACATTGCAATAATATCTTAGAAAGTGAGCGAGTACATATTCTATCTAACCCTGTAAACAAAACCCTTTTCTAAACTGAAACTTGCTGCAAAGTTTCGTTTTATCAGCTTAAGATGTCTAATCAATTCATAATGCTTGTGAAAATATCTTTAAATGATGCCTAGTATTATGTGGTTTGTTTTTTTTACTTTTATAGAGCTCACCACTATATCAACCTACCAGTGAAATTCAAACCATCCAGCAAGGGAAGGTTCGAAGGCTGCCTTGTTGTTCAGACAGACGCCGGAGATATTTGTATTCAACTTGTTGGTGAAGCACTGGCCAAAAGATGAAATGTCCTGAACAATCTAATGCTGAAGTTACGTAGTTCAGCTTTATTTGAATGTCTAAGTGTTTAACTTTTTTGGGCTCGGTAAGGCAAAATGCAATGTGCTGTAACCTATAGCAGCCAAACAAGCCATCTTTAGTTAATCTAACTACAGTAAATTGATGGCTTGTGTTGTGGTTTACTGCACTTTGCACATCAACACTTTGCACAGCTTTATTGAATAAGCCCGTATGGAGTTTTATGCTGTAAGCTAGAGTGATACTTTTTGTTAGTACTGTACATGCATCAACCTTTAGAATAGACACCTATTCTCATTTTGTAATTGTTTTTTCGGTCATCTATATAGCCTCTAAGCTATTCTGTAGAGAATGTACATAGTGGAAAATATCTTTTAGTGTTGTATGTCCAATTACAGTGGGGATCTTTTTTTTTTTAAATCACATCTTTATTGCCACAAACGATTGCAGTTGTAGGCTGTAGTGCCAAAGTTCTATTCTGTATTTGCAGACAGTGGCGTTATCTAATCCCCAACATCGTCCTAGCCCACTGGTTACAAGCGGAATTTCTGGGACACACTGCAGTAGTAGAAATATTCAAGGCCCATCCACATCATTCACTGAATTTTAAAGCATATTAACATTCTGCGTGCAGCACTTTTTTTTTTTTTGTCGAATAGTGCTCATTTAGCTATAGGAGATGCATTGACGTGGGGTTTACAAGAAAAAAAATACATGTCATTTTTTTTGCCATCACTGTAGCCCATTACAATTAATGGAAGAGCATCTAAAATGCATGTTAACATTAAAATGCGTAATGTGCATCATAAAGCACCAGCATGCATGTGAAGAGGTCATAAGGGTAGCAGACCGTTGAACTATTTTCATTGCGTTTACATCTGACACTGAACGGGCTCTGTCTTTTACATATCTCTAATATATGTGATCTCTTTAGTGTGGTTTTTTATTTTTCCTCCCAGTGGTGTCTATTTGATACCCAGACTTGTAAAAGGAAACCTAACACTTTTTCTTGTGTTTGTATGAGTGTATTTAATGTGTATGAAATAATTGTTCTAATATTTCATTGATGTGCCTTAGGCTCCTGCTGTATTCTCAATTTTGGGAAACAATCTTTCCTTTTTTAACAACATTTGATGAACTGAGGTAAATGTAACAAGCAATAAAGTTATTTATAATTTTTGTATGAATTTGAAATTATTTGGTTTTTGAAAATCTCTAACCTCGAGGGTCTTTGTCCAGATAAGAGTTAACTGATTGTTAAATGTTAGATGAGGTTGTGATTTTGATAGAGATCACTTTCATGGTCTCTGCAAAATTTCCTGTTTTTGATTGATTGTACCTCACAGGACACATGGAGTTAAATCCTTTAGCCACTGGGTTATGCAGCTACCTTCAGGTAATTCTATAAATATAATGATCTGTGCTTATGGAGGGGATATTATCAGCTGCTGTGCTCGGTTTGCATAACAGCAGAGTGACTGTATGCACACAAAGTGCACTGCGCTAATACAAACCTGAACTCTGCGCTTTAAACAATAAATATGAGTAAATGTATATCATATCTCATAAATCAACATACAATTCAATAAATAAAGGTTTATGTGAAAAAACCATCCGACCAACAATGATCTCAAGGTGAAAAAAACTTTCCAACACTAAGTGTGTTTCTCCAAATAGTGTTGCCGAAAAATCATACATCATACATTACACAATATTCGGGGCAATTAATGTGCATAAAACCATAACCCTAAAAGTCGGTATCAAATCAGAGATCCCAATCACACTGTTATGTGCAACAATTGTGAGTATCTATATTAAACGATAACACAAGTGCAAATAGCAAGAAACAAAAACTTCTTATACACGTTATCACACTTCATGTGCTATATCCTGCTGCTCCAAATTCCACCAAATGTGCAGTAACCGGTGTAATCTGCACTCACCGGAACTTCATGACCCATCTTTCACAAGATGGTCTTGAATCGCTTGGGACACTGTTTAAGGTCCCTTATCAAGGATGTCTAGTACTGACAGGCTCCACTCCGCTCAGTCTTTAAATAAATATCTGCCAATCTCCAGGAAATACTCGGAGAAGAATTTATTCAGAGGCTCAGAGTGCAGTATTTAAATCCATACTTTAAATAAACAGTAAAACATTTAAAATGATAAAATGATCAGTAATCGCGTAACTGCTCTCTCTGCTTTTGAAGTCTGCTCTTCTCCATGCGTGGTGACATCAGCATGTGTCCGTCAATCTACGCGTTTCGTCACGTATGCGTCCAGGTGAAGTCTGATGAAAGGCCAGATAGCCAGAAGTTTTTGTTTCTTGCTATTTACCATCAGGTGATTGGACACTTCCAAATCAATCAAAGCTGCAGGACTGCACCTGCATTACCCCACCTCCACTCCCAGTCTGCCTCAGTTTTTTGCTAGTATCTTTAGGTGATGGACGTCTTCTGAGAGAAGTACTCTTACACCTTTTTTCTTTAGTCTTTCCAGGACAGAGGAAGGGCGTTTGGACACTTGTTCCAGCCTGTGGAGCGCAAGGAGAGGGCCCAGGGCTTTCAATGTCATTGCTGGTCCGTTCGTGTGGGGAACACTAGCACCAGACTAGAAGAGGAGCCTTATAAATGGCGCTCCTTTTTTAAATCCCTGCTGCTCATTCTGCAGGCTGAACCCAGGAGAAGAGTCAGTGGCAGTAGTAGGTAGGGAATGGTGGCAGTGGCTTTATCTCCCTACCTGACAGGGAAGGGAGGGGGCTCTTTTATTGCATAGCCCCTCTCCTTATTTAATCCTGCTTGATTGACTCAGGGTCCCTCGATGGTGTTGGGCTTGTAGTCTTTAGTTTTTGGCACTGTATCTCAGATGTTTCTTTGCACGGAGGTGTATTTTGAGGCTAAGGTCATGAAGGTGTTTTTTATTTTTTTCTAAGGAATTTTGCAGGCCCAAGCTCCTGAAAAAAAAATCAGACCTCCTCCTAAGAAAAGAAATGTGCTCCCTGTAATGTTATGGGGGAGGGGCGAATGTGGAAACTAAAGGAAGAGGTATTTAAAATTGCTATTGGCTATTTTAAATTGCAATAGCAGGCTGGCTATTTACCCTGCCTGCTGTCAATCAGCAGAGAAGGACCGCAAGGCAAGGTCAATAGACAATCGGCAGTCTGCTATTGCAATTTAAAATAGCCAATAGCAGGCTGGCTATTGCTCCCAGCCACTGCCTGCTTTACATTCAGCTACATTAGCGGGCAGATGTTAGTCCTTAGCTATGGCTATTGAAGTGGAGGGGTGTAATAGACCCTAATGTCGCCTTAAAGAGAAGCTTAATTTCCAATGTGCTATCACATAGTGGGCTTGTAAGCCCCCCAATTTGATAATTTTTTTGATTTATAAATGCCCTAAATGCCCTTTTTTTTTGCCGGAGCCTGATTAATGCTCAGCCTGTAGGGCTTGACGTCGGAGGTCAATTTACCCCTCTGCATGAAGGTGTGCCTCCACTTCAAGTGGAGAACTGATTGTGCATCCTGGTGGGCCCTTGAGCAGGTTTATTTCTGGCGCTCTGGAATCCCTTTTTTCACTTCTTGTTGGCCCAGGCTTTGTAACTGTGCCCCATCCAGGCTTCCAGTCCTTTCCTTAGGAATACCTCCTATCCCTAGGAACAGACTCGCGTTGCACATGGTTAACCCATCTAGGTTTCTCATCTCCAGAGGGACTCCCTGACCCACTCGCTTGACCATCGCCTGCTCTAGCCGTTTCTCCCTTTTTAGACAAGGCCCCAGATCCTCACTGTTTCCCAGGTACACCACTTGCCTGTTGGAGCACTATGTGGCTCTTGTGGTCAACCTATTGCCCTCTCCTGGTATCCCCATTGTGAAATGCTGAGGTGACCTGTCCAGAGAATTGGCTTTATGGAGCCTGGTAGTCAGCACCTCCCTAGTGGAACCTAATGCCTAACCCCTGTAAGATCTGGTCAGTTTGAGTTCCAGTGTTGGTCGTCAGTTGTCACCAGTAAAACTTCCCTTAGAATATCCACACTTTGTTTATCTGTTGCTACGTTGTCAATAGGCAAGGGGTTTACCTCTTCTCCTGCATTGTGCAATTCAGTGTGAAAACACCCTCTGAATAGCATCTTCTTTCCTATTCTTTACTGGCTCTCTTTAGACCCCATGTCTGCAGTTGCAGGTTTGCTTTCTGAGCAGGCCTGCGGTCCCGACTCAAATCAGGTAGTCCCTGCCCATCTTTTAGCCTCTGCATGCGAAATGGGTAGTATCTTCCGCTCATTCCTGGGCAATGCCCCATACTGGAGTACCCCTATCCATAGGACTACCATCTGATCGCTCTAAACAAATAGTTCCCTCCATGGCAGGGCATCCCACCTTAGCTAAGTTTCCTATTTCAGACTCTGATGGGCACCATCTAGGTGTTGCAGTGCCTTTGCCTGTGGGAAGGAGTTAGTCTTTGATGGATTTTTAATGTACTCTATTCTGAAAAAGACACCAGGGCTGGTGAAAACAGTTGTATCCTATCCCATGGATATTTTACCTCTGGGGTATCCAAAGAATATAAGAAACCAGTGGAAAAATCAGGCCCCCAGACTTCACCTATACCTGAAATGCCCCTTTTGGGTGGACATTCTTTAAATGTAAATTCTCTTGAAATTCACTGGTTTTGTGAACTGTGTATACCTCTTGGGTAATTAGGCTGCCATGCAGAATAAAGCAGTGCTTTGAGTGTGAGCTGCAGCTTCATAATATACATTTTATTCTGTACTAATTAAAAACTTAAATGCATAATGAGATGGTTTTGGCTTCTATGAACAATGTGTTCATTAGGTAGCTATGTACACTATAGGCTTTTACTTGACATTGTTTCCTACTCTTACATTGAAAAACAAAGGAAAACAGCAGGGCTTAGGATGGGTGTTAAAAAAAATCTGCCATGCTCTTTTTACCTTTCTCAAAGCTTTGGTAGTGTGTTTTTTTTTTTATTGTAAGCCTGGCGGTAGGTAATACTCATCCCACAAAGGCTTGTTCCGTATTGTGAGAGCCATGTCA